TGATATAACAACTGAAGGATTAACAACGAAAGACACAACATCTACTGTCGATGCAACAACTGAAGCATCCACAACTAAAATAGAAACAACTGTAGATTCAACAACGGATTCATTAACAACGGAGGAAAAGACGACGGTTGATGCTACTACTAAACAATTAACAACTGAAGAGAAGACAACTGTTCATATAACAACTGCTGAATCAACAACGAAAGAGAAGACAACACCCTATGACACCACTGTGGAACAAACGACGACGCAGAGCACAACGGTTGATATAACAACTGAAGGATTAACAACGAAAGACACAACATCTACAGTCGATGCAGCAACTGAAGAATCCACAACTGAGATAGAAACAACTGTAGATTATACAACGGATTCATTAACAACGGAGGAAAAGACAACGGTTGATGCTACTACTAAACAATCAACAACCGAAGAGAAGACAACTGTTCATATAACAACCGCTGATTCAACAACGAAAGAGAAGACAACACTCTATGACACCACTGTGGAACAAACTACGACGCAGAGCACAACGGTTGATATAACAACTGAAGGATTAACAACGAAAGACAAAACATCTACAGTCGATGCAACAACTGAAGAATCCACAACTAAAATAGAAACAACTGTAGATTCTACAACGGATTCATTAACAACGGAGGAAAAGACAACGGTTGATGCTCCTACTAAACAATCAACAAACGAAGAGAAGACAACTGTTCATATAACAACTGCTGAATCAACAACGGAAGAAAAAACAACACCCTATGACACCACTGTTAAACAAACGACGACGCAGAGCACAACGGTTGATATAACAACTGAAGGATTAACAACGAAAGACACAACATCTACTGTCGATGCAACAACTGAAGAATCCACAACTAAAATAGAAACAACTGTAGATTCTACAACGGATTCATTAACAACTGAGGAAAAGACAACGGTTGATGCTACTATTAAACAATCAACAACTGAAGAGAAGACAACTGTTCATATAACAACTGCTGAATCAAGAACGAAAGAGAAGACAACACCCTATGACACCACTGTGGAACAAACGACGACGCAGAGCACAACGG